AAATATAAAAACTATAATTTACCTATATATAAAAAAACTAAAATTATTGAGCCGACTAATGCGGCTCATTTACTCGAGTCAGAGTCGTTTTTTCAACTATTAACTAGGCGCGAGTCGCAACTAAGTCGACTTGGTTTAGCCGTTTAACAACGCTAGCCATGATAATGCATCCATGATCACACTTTTACTTTTAGGCCTATATTCTATTAGGAATACATAAGAAGTCATTTTCCAGGCTCAACAAGTCAAACGATTATTAAATTTTAGGTAGATCTTGCTTCTCCCCAAAGCAATCGCCCTAATGGTTTGTGATCATAGACGATAGTGTTTCTGATTAGTTTTGTAGTTCCGTCTACTAATTGATATAACAACACAATCCCTAATCCTGAATCACAAAATTATTGGCAACTGCGCACTATAAGGAATTAACGTTTCCTCAGATGACAATAATTTTTTAACCTTCAAAGAAATTTTGTTCCTCTTTCTTCCATCGCCAAGGTACTTTCACGCTAGTTAATCTATAAAGCGCAGCTTTACTAAGTATATTTTGAATAAAATGTTCATGATAATTCACGATTTCCAGAAAAGATTTAAGTTGTATATTCTTAGATTTTGGTGCATTCCGAATAGCCTTCACCTTTTCTGGGTTAGGATGTATACGGATTTATCAATAATCACCCCTAAAAATAATATAATATGAATTTTTGTAAAAATTGAATTTGGTAATTTCGCCTTAAGACATCTGTCTAACACGATTCGCAAATTTTTTATATGCTCCTTATCGTTTCGACCAGAAATAATTACGTCATCTAAGTATGCACCGGTCATTTGACAATTTTTAACAACTCATTCCTAATGTTCGTCGTTAATGAATATACCCCTTATGAGTCGTTATCAGGAAAATCTTCTGAGACTTCGATTCTACTTCCACCTATAAGTACATATCCTTTAGATCTATCACGGTAAATTTACGACCACCTTGGATTTTCTCTATCAAATCGTTTATGGTAGGAATAACATGACGGTCATACAATAAGCACGGATTAAGCGTAACTTTAAATTCAGCGCAAATTCGAATATCGCCATTACTCTTGCACACATTTGCGGTTGGCGTTGACCACTGTACTCTAGTTGTAGTTGAATTAATCTTTCCCATAATTCCCGCAGCCAGTAGTCGGTCTAATTCCATTTCAATTGTTTTGCTAAGTGGAAATCGTATTTAAGGGCTGGAAACGATCTTGATACAGCTGTATCCTTTAAATATATTCGCACCACAAAATCACATATAAGTCCCATCTTATCATCGAAAATTGCTTCTTTTTTTCCGAATCTACTGCTACCTTTTTTTTGTCAATAGGGATATTCGATGTTTAGATTGGTCCAGCGGAACATCCTTAACCCAATTCCGCACTTGTTTTATTATATCTTGATAAGGCTATCCTAAATTGAACGCTACTATCCATGGTAGTCCGAAAGAGGTACCTAATAAGTGTTCATTATTACCACAGATAAGGTCCTTGTCCGTGATCCCGTTAACTTGTTTCTCGCCCTTAACATCAAACGGATAGTCACCATATGCGGCCAATGGACAGGTTGGCTTAATTTTTGGTCTTCCAATACTTGTCCAATATCAATTTCGTTCAATGACGCCTGCACACCTTTTGTCAAAATCAAATTCAACCTCTAACCCTTTACTCTGCAGTTAGTTTTTCTCGATTTTGTAGAATTTTCTATATATTATGAATAGAATCACTTGATGGCACTCTTATATAATTCAGGTTCTATGATTTATAACTAAGGCCATTATTTTACATTTGTTTCATAATTTATAATATCTTGCTTTATTATTATCTTTTTCAAATTTATTATTATATTTGACTTTATTATACCCTTTATCAAACGTATTATTGTATTTGTTATTATAGTATAGCCTTTATCAAACGTATTTGTTTTAAATGGATGTTTATAATGATTTTTATTATCGTTTTTTTGTTATTATTTATCTTGACAACCTACATATTTTTATTCGTCAATTTCTTTGCCTACACGCTCAGAGGCGATTGCCAGATCAAAAATAAATTGGGAAGTCAGTATATTATTATCTATAAGGACCGTCGAGATATTGAGCCCGAAGATCTCTTTCAAATTTCACCAGTTCTGTGCCAACTATAAACTGATCACATAAACGCCCATCCATATCTTAGAAGTTTAACACAGTCAAATCTAGAAACAAAATTCTTCGAAGTCGATTAAAATATATTGACTTAATCTCCTAAGATAACGTTTCAATAGAATCTATTTCAATATTTTTATTACCAAAAAATGCTAAAAATATATCTTCATATTGAGACTCAGTTGAACTTAGATTTTTTGAACAAAAACTGGCTTCCCAGGTAGAAAAATACCAGAATATTGAACTCTCCATCGAATTTTTCAAATTTAACGTTTATTTAAGACTAAATATTTACCATTTAAGGTTAGTATTATTATTACTTTACTTCCGTCGTCAATAGAAAACTATGATAAATATAATAGTCAATTGAGATTTATCATATTATATACATTCAAAGTTTATTCAAAATCATATAATAATTTTCTTCTATATCTAAGATATAATAATAATATAATCAATTTCTAGAATGTTCTGTTTTTTAAATAATACTCATTTATTACAAGCTCTCATTTTTTTTTGCATAAATGAGTTATCAGTTCCCATAGCTAAAATGTTAATGAAAACTGATCCTTAGTATTCACTATGGAGTGGGTTTAGTTATACATTACAATTAACAAAAAAATTTCAAATTTTATGCATTCAAGAACATCAATATCTCATAATTTAGATGATTCCACATTTAATAAAAATAATTTAAAATTTTTTTTTTTTAAATTTTAAATATTTAGCAAAATTAAGAAGAGCAAATTTATCATATCGGCTAGATCTCTAATATCAATTTAAAAATTATGTTAGAGATTAAGTTCACTGAAATCGATTTGGGGACCGATAGGCAATCGTTAAATAACGAGAAAATAAATTGACCACATTTAGTTGATCTGCATACAGCTGACCATTTTTTTAAAAAATATTTTTGGACCTTGGAGTTAGTTTTATTCTTGCCATTCACTGGTTATAAAATTTGTCCCGTCTATGGCGTGTCCCATCTAAGAAAAATTCTATGTTTTGGTTAAAATATTTCTTATTTTCCCGTGATTATTTTTATTGCTATTTTATGTATCGTCTTCTTTGTGAAATTAATCGAATACTTAGAAGCACGAATTCTAAAATCCATGTTAATATTTAGTGTTATGATGCTATTTTATGTATCGTCTTCTTTGTGAAATTAATCGAATACTTAGAAGCACGAATTCTAAAATCTATGTTAATATTTAGTGTTATGAATGCTACCAGTATAAACTTTATTAAGAAAAAAAATTATTAGAATTTTGATCAACTTTGCAATTAAAAATAGAGTGATCGCATTTATCTAAAATTTTATCAATGTTTAGTACATTAGTATATTATCTAAATCAGTTGTTTATATTATAGAGAAAAGCTATTGGCGAAAATAGAACAAATTGGCATCATGCCAAAATAAAAATAAAAACGCTATACTAAGTTTGCCTTAATATATTCTTTGATTAGTACCTATTAATTCCTCAATCAGTTTTGCCAACCACAAAAAAACAACTAATTTTAAGTGTGAAGTGAGTCAATCTTTTGAAAAGAGTAATTCTGAAGCTTATACTAAACCTAGTTCTTTATTAGTACATTTTAATTCTTGGTTAAACGATTTAAAGTGAGAAAATATTGGTAAAATAAAAATTGGTATTATACCAAAATGGAGCTAATATTTATTAACAATTCTTCAATTAGTTTTACCACAAAAATGCAAAATAAAAACTATATCACGCCTTAAGCGTTAAGTCACCAAGCTTCTGGAAGGGTTAATTCTGAACTTATATAAATTAATTGTGCGTATATATTATATTTTAGTGCTTCATTCACTTCATTTGAAAAATAGCTTATAAAAAACATTGTCAAAAAAAATCGAGATTGTAATTATCCAGTAGGAAAATTTTAGAAGCACTCAATATCTGAGTTGCACCAATATTTAATTCTGATTAGTACTAATTCATCAATCAGTCTTGCAGTCACTAGAGAGAAACCGAGTTTTAAGTTAATCATACCTTATGTTGCGTCTTATAGGATTTTGAATCGTCGATTTATATTCTGAATAAAGATTTTCAAAGATTTAAGCATTAAATTTGCCGAATGCACTAATTCTAAAGCTTAACCTAATTTTTAATGCTTAATTAGAATAGCCGTAGTGAGGATTTTGATAAAAGGGGGAGAAGCAATGGTGGGTTATCTCTATAAATTTTATTGGTATTACATTTTTTAAAATAATTATGGTTTTTATAAAAGTGCCTTGTCTAAAAATTGAATTATAGCCATTATTTTTAAAAATTATTTACTTTTAATTATTTTTCTTTCGAATTATACATTTTTGAGGAAAGGGGTAAGGGATTTTTTTATATTAGCTAAATATAATTTACGAGACAGACAAGTTTCGAGAAAGAAAAACATCCTTACGCCGCCTTCCATACGCTTAGTACACCTTTTAAAAGAACACTTCGCTCAACGTCTAACATTTTTATAGAATTTATTAATATATTTTTTCACTCACTTTCTAAACGAGAGTAATTTTTGTGATGATTTTATGGAAATAAAAGAAAATTAAGTAGACGGCTATCAATTTAAATAGAAATATTTCCCATGTTTCCATATGGAGAATTCTTCAAAACTCCCACCCTTGCCAGTCACTTATCTAACCCGATAAATTTAATATAGCTCACTTTTGGTCGTTAAAAATATTAAAAAACTCATTAAATTCTTTTTTTTTTTAATATGACTAATAAAAGGTGGGCCCAATATAATTTTCTATTTTTATATAATTACAAATAAAAATTAAAATGGGAATTTTAAAACTATTTTATATTAGCTTCCAAATGATAATCTTGATGTTAGAATTCCGGTATGGGTCACAGGTATCGAATTTATTACATCTTTTAAAATCGCCATTTGCACTGCTTTTCGTCAAGTAAAATTTAATAATAAATATATTTATATTTTATAATATGATAGATACGCATATATGATTATAACAGACCGACATTCGACAAATCAAATCGAACATTAAGATCTCGACCATTAATTTCTATAGAAATACCGGGTGCTAATAGCTTTTCAACATTAAAATATATGCATATTCATCACAAGCACTTGCTTATAGGTGGAGATAATGAAGGTGGGTTAGCAATCATTGAATTAAAAGAAGAAAGCTTACATGGTAGAGGTACGCCCATCAAAATACCATCAAATAACATTGATAAAATATCTTTATTAAAAGTGGGAAAAATGATTAATCATAAATTTATTGCCAATAAAAAATACGTTCACTATGCCAATGGCTCTTTAAGATTCATAACTAGTATTAAAGCCACTCTAATTAATGATGAAAATGAAAAACAAATCAAAGATAATAAGAATTTATTGATGTTGAGCTTAGACAGATATTTAAGAATATCTGATATAAATAATATTGGCACCCCAATACATCAAGTATAATTTTATATCAAATTTTAAAAATTTACAATTTATTTTTATTTCCAGATCTTCTTGAAATCAATACCAACTTGCATATTAATTCGTTAAATTACTATTGTATTTAAATTTAAAGAATATTATACAATTAAATATATAATTATTGTTTATTCTTCCACTTTATCTTGTTGAATTTTTGTGTAATCAAAATTTTTCTTGTAAATTTCTAATTTTCTTTGTCTATTGAAATGATCCACCTATAAATAATTTGCAAACTAAATATTTTAACCATTTTCTAAAACAGCAATTTAATTAATATATTGAGGCTTAATTTCTAATTAAAAATATACATTTATTTTATAGATAATATTGGATTTTATTTTAAAAAATATTGGGGAGGTGGGTGGAGATTTACTTAAAATTATATTCATAAATTGCAAATTTGCCAGGGGATCTTCTCTTCCTCCTTGGCAATGCCAAGGATATTTTTTTAACTATCCCTCTATTCTTGGTTAATAATTTATGCCAGTCATTACATAGAAAATGGCTAAACGATTCATTATACTAAAATGTAATAAAACCCATTTTTGATATATTTTATATTAATGGAATCATGCATTGCCCTGGTGCACAAAACCACCTAGCTTAGCTTCAGAAAAAATCTGGTCCTTTATGGATTCCAATCGCCAAGTTTATAAAATGATTCGTCAATCAATGTTTAAAGTGATTCAGCCACAATAATAACTTAACTCAAGGAATCTGCAACTCAAGGAAATTTTTTAATTGGATGAATCACATTTAAAGTTAAACAAGTATGTCGGATTAATGGTTAGAGATATGGGTTAGGATTAATTAATGGTTTGAGAGATATGGGTTGGGTTAAAATATATTAAAAATGGATTTCAAAAAAATTTAATCATTTTTATTAATAATTTGTCAAATTTGACTGGTCATGTTATTAAAAATAATTGAGTTGGATCATAATCATAACTATGATGTATATAAAAACACAAAAGCAATAAAGTTAAACCCTAGACATCATTACCTTTTATTTTTACAAATAAATATTTTGCTTTTTAATGATATATTTCTATATTTTTCTTAAAAAAAATACATCAGTCATAATAATTAAAGTTAAATATTGGATTGGGCTAACATTTTCAAATAAAAAAAGGATCCAATATATTTTATTTCATAATAAGAATAAATTAATAAAGGGACCAAAAACTTTTAATTTAAAAAAGAGTAGCTAAAAATATTATACTTTTTTATATTATCTGCAACAAGAAAGGGATTTAAAAATGTGATATTCAATCATCATATCTTAGGATATTTATGAAACTGTTAGAGATAAAATTATCAGAAAAAAAGACGAAGCAGTTATTCCTAATTGTTTAAAAAGAGCCATAAGAACTCAAAATATTGTTAACTTTGTCATATAGAAAAGATCATAAACTCATTAATGGTCACGATTTTTCTAGTGGATAAAAATGCTCAATTTTTTCAAATTATATTGATTAATTCAAATATGATATTCTAAAAAATCATCCTAAATAGAAAATCTAGCCCGTTAACCAATAAGAGGTTAAAAAAGATAAAAATTATGTATAAAACTATAAGATCAATAAAAAACAGAAATCTTTATTCTTTTTTTATAATAAAAACGAGAAAATGTTTATATATTATGAAAATCTTTGAAACATTTAATATGAAGTGTGATTTGACATGTTTGGCACATATATATTGAGTGCGTGTGTCAATATCTGCATCTTAGTCTTTTTCCATCTATAATTTTAGATAAATAATGTCCAGATGAATCAGTAGGGTTTTCACTCTGTAATGCTAACTGGCTGGCGTGCCCAGTACTTAAATTTTTTTTCAATTTGTACTGGTGTTCGAAGGAGATAGTAACTAAAGGTCTGTATTGGGCAGGGTATCGGTCTGCCAGCTTATCTAAGTGGACGGGTAAAAAAAATTGAAACTATGGTCAGGCGGGTTAAGAAATTTAAACAATGGGTGGGCGGATTAAGAAAATTTAAAAAATTTTTCAAAAACAAACTAAAGAAAAATCATAATTAATTAAATGATCAATAACAATTTCTTATTTTATTGTATCAATCGTTTGTTTTTCGACATCTTTATCTAATTGTTTCTACCATATATAAGGTCTCGTAATGGATTTCATTGATGTAATACCCGGATGTCCCGTATGCAATATATGTAAAACTCTTTTTTGAAGTGAGTACGGAATGATTAATCTGTCATTCCAAAATAAAATACCGCCAACATTTTCTATTTCATCTATTCTTGTTCATGTAATTCTGGTGCTTGATTTTGTATATTTGTATGATTTATTAATCTTTCTGTTGGCTTTCGTTCCCTCGTTGGATATCGGGGTTGAATTCCTTCTTGACTTGGTTCTATTGTTTTATAATCTCTAACTTTATTGATTCGGTTTCCACTGGTTCTTCCCTTGTTCGTAGGGTCAGCATGTTTTCCTACGATTTTTTCCCTTTTCCAGGGTTGTGATGGCGGATTCCACTGGCATACGGCAACACTTGGTATATCTCTTCATTGTTTTTGACATATACTACAGCTGTTTACTAGTTTTTCGACCCACCATATATAATGTCTGGCAATAGATTTTATTGACGTAATACCCGGATGTCCCGTAATCAGAGCCGTAGCTAGAGATTTTCAGTTAGGGGGAGGGGCAGCTGCTTACTTAGGGGGGCCACTATTTTTTATAAATAAAACAAATAATTGAGCATTTATAGAAATTTTTTGCTATTTTAATTTAAAAATAATAATGTTATATGAATACAAATTAATACTATAATATGAACATACAAAATAATAATATAATACGACGATCTTTATATTTATTTAACATAAATGAATTAATTTTGTGTTAATTTTTTTCATAAGCCATCAATACTAAATTTTGCTTACTTTGATCTTTCATCGACCCTCTAGTACTCGATAGAACTCTCTTTATTATAGAGAAAGAAGCCACACAAGAAGCCGTTGGTAATGATGATGGCTGCTGAGTAGCATTTATACAATTCTCTAAATGCAAGATGATATTTTTTTTACATAATATTTAGGTATTTTCAAAATTATGAGTTTCTTTAACTTCTGCAGCTAATAATCCTTTAGCTATTTTCATTTCGGATGTAAAGTTTCCATATTTAAGTTTAATAATAATTCTAATCGGGCCATTTTGTGGATATAAAATAATCACTATCAAAGGGGGACAATGCATTCAAACTTGATAGAAGATTATAATCATCTTGTGTAAATCTATCTAAAAAATTATCAACAAAGTAATCAATAATTACATTTAAAGAACTCCAATAGGAGTCTTTTTCGCAATCAAATTGTAATTTGGTTTCGACTAAAAAATCTTGGAAATTTATAGGCGTTTTACATACGCTTGATGATTTGTGGGGAGTGAGATTAAATTTTGCTAAAGGTTTTTTAGCCTTTATTCAAATCAAATCAATAGAATTCTTATATTTTTTTAATATATTGATCATGGAATCAATACAATTTTTAGCATCCACTTGATAAGTACCTACTGAATGTAGATACTTATATAGTAGATATATTGTTATTAATATCACATAAATTATAATGGCTAATATAACGTAATTTATATTAACGTATTGAGATAAAAGACCAGAGACTTCGACAGAATCATGAGCGGAAACCTCTGAATTAAGAGTTTCATTATAAAAGTAAACTAATACTTCACCAATAGACTCAAAATTAACATAAATGATGCGATATGTTTCTAAATGACCAGTCCACCTCTGGTCTAGTCTCTCAAGAGTATGGCCTGCATATTTACAGGATACGTTAAACCGCCTTTGGCAATGCATTGAATAAGTATTCGAAATGATAACAATATTATTATACCAATTTTGAGCCACAAGATGCAACATGTGGTTGTAGCAATGTATAAAAGGAATTTTTTTATTAATTTTGAAATAGGGTTTGCACTCCTCCATTTCGGCCAGACATAGCACCATCATATGTCGGGTTTATCATATTCGTTGAATTAATATTTAACTCATTAAGTTTCTTTAAAATGCAATTAGTAATGCTTTCAGCAGAAAGACACTGTAAATTAATAATCCCTATTAAATTTTCTTGGACTTCTCCAGAAAAAATATAAATAATTATCCTCAGGTTTTCACAACCTGATGCATCTTATGTCACATCAGCCTTAAGACAAAAAAAAGGCATCTCACTTGTTATATTTATTTGAAATATAATCAAGCACCATATCTACCATGATAGATATTACTTCGTTTTGAATCTGGGTGATGTATATCGCGTATAAATTTCGTAATTTTATTTAATTCAGGATTTTTTTGGATGGTGTATGAAAACATTGATATAAATAGTCCAGAAAGAATAAATTAGTTTTCAACATTTGCTGCATCCGTTATTTTTGTTGAACCAGTCCCACGGAAAGGTAGCTCCTGTATGTTAAGAAATATCATGAAATTTTGATTTAAGATAGTAAAGATTACGGTTAATTTGTTGGCTTACCAAATTGGTGTTATCTTACTATTTTCTTTATAATGCTAAAATATTCACCGCTGTTTTAAATAACTGGTTATATCGGGCTTAGATAATATAATTCTGTCTAAGATCTTAATCGGACCATTTTTAAAAATCGGCCCAAATCGAGCTGTTTAGCAACACCACAATATTTACCAAATTTTATAAAAATTTAATAAGAACCTTTTTTAATTTAATAAATATTTACGAATCGGTATCAATCTGTTTCCTTAGACTTGATATATATGAAAATCCCGGTTTTTATGATTCGCACCCAGAATATCAGAGACCTTCAAAAGATAATAATATTGTGATTGAACCATAATAAATAAAATAATTATCATTGAAATAAGTACAATTCAAACGTTATAATTAAGCGCCTATATAATGTTATACACAAACACACATGAAAATGATAAAATATGAATGAATGATGATTTATTATTGTGTAAAAATAAACCAAGATAGGAAGAAATTTACAAACAAGACATGTTTTTTGAATAAATATTTAAAATTTATTTTAAAAATATAAAAATAATCAATTACAAAAATTTTTTTTAAATTTGGGGGGCCGGAAAAATTTATGGAGGTTATTTTTGGGAGACAAAGATTTTTTCTGAGGGCCAGGTTTGGGGGCCAAAATTTTTTAACCCCCCCCCCCCCCCAGTGGCTACGGCCCTGGCCGTAATATGTGTAAAACTCTTTTTTAAAGTGAGTACGGAATAATTAATCTGCCATTCCAAAATAAAATACCGTCATCATTTTATATTTCATCTATTCTTATTCTAAAAGCTTGTAATTCTGGTGTTTGATTTTGTATATTTGTACCATTTATTAATATTTGTACTCTTCTTAAAATTAGATCTTTTGCGGTTTCCTCTCTAAGTTCTATTCTTGATAGAGTTAATGTGTCATAAATAAGATTTCTTATATATTTCACTGTTTTATTTTCGCTAGTTATTCTATCATCATTTTTCTCTATTAAGTTTCGCGATAAAGCATCTGCAATTATCTTATTAACGCCATTCTTGTACATTATATTATAATCATATGCAGATAATTTATAAGTCTACCGTAATAATCTTTAGTTTGTTAATGAGCTTAAATCTCTGTTATTACCATATATCTTTATTAAAGGTTCGTGGTCTGTTCAAATTTTAAATTTTCGTCCATACAAATAGTTATGAAATTTTTCTACGCCTTTTATTATTGCTTTTGCTTCTTTGTCTATTGTAGAATAATTCTTTTCAGCGTCTTGTAAAGTTCTTGAGGTGTAAACTATTGGAAATTCGTTACCATTATCATATTTTTGCATGAGTACAGCTCCAAATCCTTGGTTAGATGCATCTGTTTCTAATATTAACTTGAGGTCTGGTTTATAAAACTGTATAGTATTTTGTTCTGTTACTATTCCGAATAGCATGAAACGATTACAAAAATAGCACGGTATTTTATTTTGGAATGGCAGATTAATCATTTCGTACTCACTTCAAAAAGAGTTTTACATATATTGCATACGGGACATCCGGGTCTCACAGAGAAAGAGGGTATACTTCAAACAGATTTTGGTGGAAACGACAAGATATTTGCCAAAGCTATCAAGATTAGCAAGAAAAATATTGGCAATTCCTGCAACTAGTGCTCCTTCTGAATGAAGATTTAGCATTGTTGTAAGGTTTTTAGAACAAAGAAGAACGTGTTTGAATTAATGTCAATTCATTATTATTTTTGCATTATAATTACATATAATATCAATTTTATATTTATTTCATAAATATTCTATTTGATCAAATAAATTGTTCATAGTTTAAATTGAATATTTTTTTATGCTTAAATTAATTTACTAAATTATAAACTTTTTGTAGTGTAACGCTGAAATATTTTTATTAAATGCTTAAAAAATTTAAAGAATGGCCATAATTAAATTTTATAAGTGGACTTGGGTTAAAATTTTTATATCTATAAAGAAAATATACACACTAGTTTTCATCAAAATAATTTCATAATATGCTTTTGAGATCACTTAGAAAATTTTGCATTTTAATTTCATAAATTTGCCATGTTTGAGGGCTTCTTAGAGACATTAAAAAATTTTCATATTTTTCTTTTCCAGTTTTGAAGTACAATGTCTGAACTATATAAAAATCTTTTTTATTATTTTAAAAAAAACTACTATGTTTAAAAATGATATATAGGAGGTGGTGCATATATGCATCATTAACCAGTAATGGGTATGGTAATATATCCAAATATTTTTAAATATATGGTGAAGAGATTTATCTGGATTTTGGCTGTAAACATAAGAGAGTAAACAATTATCTAAAATTCATAGGATAAGGGAACACTATACATTACGAAATATAATTAGAGTAAAATCAGATTTTCAAAATAAAAAATATGCATTATAAATTACATTTTAAAAATTTGAGCAAAACCTGTACAAATATTTTATCTGGGCCCTTACCATCATGTTCAATCTCAATTCTGTAGAAATTATATGGCATATAATAGGTGTAGGCAAGATTTTACTAAGTGTGAGGGGCACTGTGGATTGCAAAATAGTTCACATACTAAGGGATAGAGAAAAATTCTATGACTGAACATAAGAGGCATTTTAATTGGCTAATATTTATAAAAACAGATCAAATAGCAGGAAGAGCCATACAATATGTTTTAATAATTTAATTAAATATTATAAGCAAAAGATTTTAAAAAAATTTTTTATGAATATTTTAATTAAATTAAGAAATTTAGAGGGATGGCATGGCTAAGGTATTTAGGTTAGGTAATATATGGCCTTTTTATTTATACTAATTAAACACTAATTTTTCAAAGTTAATATATCCTGGTAAATTTTCTAAGAGAAATTTATTAAGTATTTATAAAATAATATGTATCTTATATAGTTAAAAATAAATAACCCACTGTTTTGGACAAGATTTTTCATATAATATTTTTAAAGTTTTACATTTTGTTTCTTCTATATTTTGCTCTAAACATTTCCAAAAACTAAATTAATTATATAATGAATAAAATTTAAGCAATTTACTTGTCTCTTGCTTCATAACATATTTTTCTTTCTTGTTTGAAAGGTGGTAAAGCCATTTTAGATGTAATGATAAAACACGTCGTTGGTAAACATAACAACATATTTAAAAAACCTTAATATTAATGAGATGATTAGTGTTTTTTAAAAGCCCGATTCGGGCAGATTCTAAAAACGGCCTAATTAAGGTTGTAAATAAAATAACAATATGTAAGCCTAAAGATTTTGCACATAACTGGCAGAAATGCTTGAACATCTATTCTCGATGCTTGCATAATATTATTTTAACTAAAATCTTAATCGGGCTGTTTAGAAAAATCGAGCTTTTTAACAACACTAAATGAGATGGCTTATATATAAGGGTTTATTTAAAAATGATTTTAAAATACCTAATTACAACTACCATTTACCTATAAAGGGAGATTAGTTTTTTTAAGAAAGTTTAAATATTAATTTGCAAAAGAGTATTTAAAATAGATTCATTATTGTATAAGATAATCAGATTTTTCAAATAATTTCTCATATGACCTTTGCCGTTTCGGAATACTTAACATTGTGCCAAAACTAAATAAAATTTTAATTGTAGCTGATGAAGGTATTGCAGTATTATATTTTACATATTTCTTTAATGGAAGGATAATAATTAAGCATTTATAACGTATTTCGACTTTCTATAATATTATTTAAAACCTCCAGTTTAATTTTATTTACATTATTAAATGAACTCAGCATATTAGATGTTAAATCTATTGATGCTATATACTCTGGTACTACATTTAGGACTTCTTAAAATAATATTTTTGAAAGTATTTTTTTTTTCACCCGACTCCATAAGTTCTTAAAATATAGATGTGATTTGATGTCTAAAATTTTGATGGAAGGCAACAAATAAGTTTTTAAATATTTTATCACATAATACTTTATTAATAAATTTTATATTTTTCTAACATGTATTTATATCAATTCACAATCAATTAACCTAAAAATGTTAATGCTAAAAATGGTTAATTTAATAATAATAACAAATTAATGTATGAATGTATATAAAAAACAAATTTAATGATTCTAAATATTGTCCATCTCTAACATTCTACCCTCCAAAGAAATCCAGCCTAGGTCTCTTTGAGTGCCGAAAAATCGTCCCGATGTTCTTGATTTTTACTATTATTATCGTTTCATATGTCACTTTGCTTTTATCTTTTAGCGTTGTCTTGCTTTTGTCACGTTTTATCGTTGGCTTGTTTTCACCTCGTTGGTTTGTTATTAACGTTTCGTCTCTTTGCTTATTTGTTTTTGTTCACCTTCCATAGTCATTATTATCATTTTTTTTTATTATTTTTCAAATCATTATCATTATTATTAGTTAATCAAGAATAATTAGGAATCATAAGAATAGATCCAATTGAATATAAGAATCGATCCAATTGAATATAATCATCATTTAGAAAATAATATTGAATTTGTAAGAATGTATAAAGAATCGCGTTTTAATTTTTTTTTTTTTATTTGTGTCGCGTTTTATACAATTTTTTATATTATTTATTTTGCGTTTTATATCGTTTTTTTATTTTTATTTATAATGTTTTATATCATTTTTTTTTTATTTATATATTTTTTGTTTATTTTTATTTTACATTGAGTTTTATATAGTTTTTTTTATATTTATTTATTTTTTTTTGTTTATTTTTATATGTCAAAAAATAATTTTCCATTGATAAAGTCAAAATTAAAGATTTAAATGAGATATATTATTAATCATATCTTTTTTTATAACTTCTCCCTCCTTAATACTTTAAGAGATTTTTAAATTTAAATCCTTTTATCTTAAGTATAAATAAGATTTCACAGTTCCTACAATTACTTTTTTTACTATAAATCGTGGATTCTTTTTTATTTAAAGTTTTCCATATAGAGATTTCATCTATTTCATTTGTGTTACTTATTATATTTGTATCATCAGAGTTTTCTTTATTTAAAATTTCATAGTTATTAAAGTCATTATACTGAAAATTTTCATTAGTTGACATTTCATTGTCTTTATAATCATCACAATAATTATTTTCACATTTTGAATTTATTATAAGAGTTTCCTTAATATTAATGTTTTCTCTAATATTAGTATCATCGACTTTTATAGACATTTCATTGTCTTTATAATCATCACAATAATTATTTTCACATTTTGAATTTATTATAAGAGTTTCTTTAATTTTAATGTTTTCTCTAATATTAGTATCATCGACTTTTATAGACATTTCATTGTCTTTATAATCATCACAATAATTATTTTCACATTTTGAATTTATTATAAGAGTTTCTTTAATTTTAATGTTTTCTCTAATATTAGTATCATCAACTTTTATATTTGCTCTTACTTTATAGTTACATAATAATTTCAATATTGTAATAGCTTCCTCAAAAGTTGAATCTCTGTCTCTTAGTTCAAATGCCTTCATCTTTACATATAGATGATCAGGCAGTTTATAAATTAAATATCTGCTGCTATTTCTAACTTCATTAATTAAAAAAAAAATTTCTACTTCGTCAATATAATTCCTTATATTGTCTTCACTCCAAATAGGATAATTCATATCAATTAAATTTTACTTTATTTCAAAAAAAATTTAAGTTCATCAAATATGTACTTTATTTTATAATTATTTTTATTTGTGCTTATAATTATATCATTTTATTTTTATTTTATTTCGAATGGTTTCATTGCTAATTTGTAATTTCTTACATGATATCCAATATAATTTATAATCTTTCAGAATTATGATATTTAACTTGATATTTATTTCATTTAGAGTAATCCAATGTCCATTTCCACCATTCCAGTGTCCATTGATACTTTATCCACTGCCACCATAAAAGTTTGATGGAAGGCAACAAATAAGTTTTTAAATATTTTATCACATAATACTTTATTAATAAATTTTATATTTTTCTAACATGTATTTATATCAATTCACAATCAATTAACCTAAAAATGTTAATGCTAAAAATGTTTAATTTAATAATAATAACAAATTAATGTATGAGTGTATATAAAAAACAAATTTAATGATTCTAAATATTGTCCATCTCTAACAGAAGGTATTGCAGTATTATATTTTACATATTTCTTTAATGGAAGGATAATAATTAAGCATTTATAACGTATTTCGACTTTCTATAATATTATTTAAAACCTCCAGTTTAATTTTATTTATATTATTAAATGAACTCAGCATATTAGATGTTAAATCTATTGATGCTATATACTCTGGTACTACATTTAGGACTTCTTAAAATAATATTTTTGAAAGTATTTTTTTTTTCACCCGACTCCATAAGTTCTTAAAATATAGATGTGATTTGATGTCAAAAAAGCCTCATTAAATTCATATCATAGGAAAATATTTTCATTCTTTTTCCCATACCAACTTGGCAGCTTTTAATTAAGGTAGATAATATTGTAAACTTAAATTTTTAAGATAACCTATGTCCCTTTTATCAACAATAAATATTATACCTTAATATGTTTAACAAAATTTGTGTTGAACCCTTCATCATTTTTTTGTTTATACAGGTTTACATTCAGCCTATACATTGTCCTTTTTAACTTTTATTTGAAATAAATTTCTTTCTAAAATTTTAAAATTGGGATTTGATTCAGGGGAACTTAATTCAATCATTTAAATTTCACTATATTCTTCTTCACTGCCATGAGTGTTAATCATCCTATGAATTAAAAAATATTACATAAAATTGGTAATGATATTCTATCGAGTTACATTTATATGCAAAATATAATCTTTACTTATTTCGTTTTGGTGTTGTTATTTTTTTTTATCTATGAGTTGTAAATTTTCAGCTAATTTTGGTTGTCAATATATTTAAAATATGGCGGAAAAAATAAGAAAATTAATACAAGATTCCCGAAGAAAATAAGATATATATAGTGATATGTAAATTTTGAACATTAATATTAAAAAGAATCTGTATCTGAATCATTTGTAAAAAAATGAAAAAGATACAAGATTCTTTTCAGAATAATCTTAGATACAGATACTAGTATCTTATTAAAAATGTACTGAGTAAAAGATACAAAAGGATCTTGTATCTTAGATATAAGTATCCGCGGTACTGCTCAACTCTGGATATATATAGATATTAATTTAATAAAAAATATTAATAAAGCATATTTTATGATAAAATTATTTACAATAATTGATAAAATATTTCAAATATCATATTTAATAATGAGATATATAATCAAGCATTTTAATACTAATTTTAACATTCATAAAAAAATGAGCAAGGGGACTTGTGTTTTATAGGCTTAAAATATTAATTTACATTAAAGAGTATTGTAAAATTTACTAAATTAATTCATTGTATTTTTTCTATCTAGAATCTTTATTTATTAATTTTAAAAATAACGATAGATTTTAGGATACGAAAGAAATGTCCTGCTAGTAAAATGTAACATATGGCAAAGTTATGGAAATTTTAAGAAATCGATTAGTCCTACGTGGCCTATTAAAGTAAGGCCATAGACATGACTACTAAGGTTTTCAGGCTAAATCAAGAAATATTATGGTCAATAATTTTATAATTACTGAAAATGGTCAGTAATAAAGTTAGACAGTTAACAAATAGTACAAAAACTACGAAAGATTTTGAACGCCAAAATCTATCGTGATCAATATGGAACACTCTCAGTGGAAAATAAAGAACTTTGTTAAAACTAACTCATAAAACATATTTTAATATCCGCATATCATAAGAGATCGAATAGGGAAGCCGAGAGAATCTGTACAAACCTCTAAAGATTTTTAAAAATATGCCAAACTAAAAGGAAGAGATATAAATTTCTATTCGCAAACAAAAAATACTATTCGAAAAGAACCAAATTGTCACCCATAACAACTTATGCTAAAATTTGTCCCACAAATCCCGTTGAACAAACTTAAACCACATTACAATGAGAAGAAAGGAGATTAAGTAGAATATACAAAAGGTTTGAGATACAAGAAAAAGTATGGGGTTAAGATTTTTAGCGAGAATCATGATGGATTCCAGCAAAGCGGTGTTTACATGGCTAGTTAATCACTAGAGGTAAACCCCC